GAAGCTTCTATCCTTGGGAGTCCGTGCGATCCCCGCGCTTACCCACTGGATCGCCGTGCCGAGTCCCCACCAGCCGAAGCCGAGCCACGCCAGGGTCCCCGGCTCCATGCCGCGTCACTCGCTCGTGGCAGCCTGCTTGGCGGACCCGGGAGAGAAGCGCTGGACGTCGTCCTTCTCGACCAGCAGGGCGCGATGATACGAGCGGATGACGTCGTTGGGATCGCCCTGCTCGCGGATGCGCCCTTCCTCGATCCAGATGGCGCGCGTGCACAGGCGGCGCACCTCGGCCATCGAATGGGAGACGAAGAGCAGTGTGCCGGTCTTGCGGAAGTTGTCGATCCAGTCGAGGCACTTGCGCTGGAAGGCGGCGTCGCCGACCGACAGCGCCTCGTCGACGACCAGGATCTCGGCCTCGACATGGGCACAGATCGAGAAGGCCAGGCGCGTGCGCATGCCCATCGAATAGTGCTTCACCGGCTGGTCCATATATTCGCCGATACCGGCGAACTCGGCGATCGAGTCGAACTTGCGCAGCACCTCGCCGCGCTTCAGGCCGAGCACGGCGCCGCCGATCAGGACGTTCTCGCGGCCCGACAGCTCCATGTCGAACGTCGAACCGAGCGCCAGCACCGGTGCGATGCGGCCGTTGACCCGCAGCTCGCCATGGCTGGGCAGCGTCATGCCGCAGATCACCTGCAGCAGGGTCGACTTGCCGCAACCGTTGCGGCCGAGGATGCCGATGCTCTCGCCCTTCTTCACTTCGAGGCTGATGTCGCGCAGCACCCAGAAGGGCTTGAAGTACGCCTTCCACCAGCCGAACAGGACCTGCTTCAGCCAGTCGTTGCGATGAGCATAGAGCTGGAAGGCCTTGCCGAGGTTTTTGGCCTCGACGACGACCTCAGAGGACGTCGACGATGACATTGCGGTACCTGTCGAAGAACCAGTAGCCGAAATAGAAGCTGAACAGCGAAATAAACAACGTCCAGCCGTAGAGGATCATGTTGGGCAATCTGCCCCCCAGCACCAAGTCACGCAGAATTTCGACGAAACAGACCAGCGCATTGCCATACATCCAAAAATCGTAGGGCGCCGGCACCATCGACGGCAGATAGAAGATCGGCGTCGCAAACATGAACAGAGGCACGATCGTGATCATCAGGTAGCCGGCATCGCGCGTGAATGCTCCGAGCGCCGCCAGGAACCATGACATGCCGATCAGGAACGCCACGAACGGGATGAAAACGAACGGCAGCAACAGCACCGTCACGGGCAGCTCGCCAATCACCGCCAATTGGAACAGCAGCATCACCCCCAGGGAGATCAGCGTATAGGCCGTGGCGCGCAGCGTCGAGATCACCGC